GCCGGAGCCCGAGCCGGAGCCGAGCCGGAGCCCGAGCAGGGCCGTGGGCGCCGCGCTCCCCGGGAGCTCCCGGGTCCCGCCATCCGGAGGTTCGCCCTCAGCTGTTCGTTCCCCCAGGGAAGGAAGCAGCATGCAGATCTTGCGGGACGCAGAGCCATATATGTATCTGATACTAAGATTTCCCCTTACGAGGGCAAACTTGGAAGTCTGGGACGAGACAGCCCAGTAAGGCAAAACAAGGAGTACATTGAATGGGTCTCATTGGACAAACAGAGCAAACTAACCCATGAAATAGGTTTCCGAACTGTAAATCAAATTATTATTCGCCATTATAAAATAGGAAGTTCCAACTAGACATGGTATGCACGTTGCCACACACTTTTAAATTGACGACCGTTCTTAGAAACACATTTTTTAGAAACACATTTTTTTTCGCTATAGCCGTCATTTGCAGCAACGTGTGAAATGGTGTGGCGTTAAAATAACTCCGTCCAAGCATTTGCTGGGTTTTTTGCTAGTTAGGAGCAATGTATTCAGTACATATATATCAGAAAAACAAGAACAAACTTGGGGTGAAGTTGATCCCATGGCCACTAACTAGAGTTGTGGTCCACTGTTTACAGTGACTCCCCTCCCCCACCCTTCACTACCTCCAACCTTTCTTTTCAGGAGGCCTGCCTTCTGAGAGATGATGGGTGAGTGGAATCGAACTGCCAACCCTTCGGCTCACAGCTAAGCATGTTAGTCATTTGCATCACCTGTATTTCAGCATTTGGCTTCTCAGATGACCCTGGAGAGCAGAAAAGAAGGCATGGGTGGGGTCCTACTGCGTCCACAGGGCAGGTAAGTGGAGCTATAATGTAAGCCCTGAGTGGGACTTCCCAAAACTCTGCAACAAGTGTTAGTTCAGCCTTGAAGGTACCCAGCCAGCACTGGAAACCCTCTGGTTGGGTTGACCCGGTTTATATCCTGGGGAACTTTGAGTATGTTTCATGCTAGTATTATAGTAATTGTTGATCAACAGAACTTGATAAAATGGTCTAAAGGAAGTAAACTCTGCACAACCTGGGAGGAAAATGTGAATTTGTAATTGAATTACAGGCATATCTCTTTTTTTTTTTTTTTTGGCAAAGTGGCTGCAGTTTATTAGAGAGCTCGAGCAAGGGACATGTGGTCCGTCAGGGTGATGTAGAGGTGGGGGCAGGCAGGCACGAAGCTGTGGGGTCCAGCGAAGGCTAGGTGACATCATCATCCTCACCCCAACGACTGTCACTTTCCGACAGAGGTGGTGATGATGAGAATGACAACAAGCAGGACGACAGCTCCAGCCGACAGGAAACAGCACTTGACCTTTCTTCTCTGGAGCTATTCAATTTGTATGTGCGGAAGAGGGCGGTTCTGTCCTCGGTCACCGCCCGGCTTGCAGGTGCACAAGGAGGCTGCAACTTTGGGATCTGGCGACATGCGCTCCCATGAGGATCCCTCGCTCCCCGCCAGGTGCTGCTAATGAAGGCCTGTGGGGGCTCGAGTGTAAATCAGAGGCCACACCCGCTACAGTCTCCGGCCCTGTAATCTCGCAGGCTGCACTGAGCAAGGACCAGCAGGCTCGCCGCGGGTCCCCTTGGAGCGGCGGGAGCACGTTGAGCGTCGGCCCGCAGCGCCCAGGCTGCCCCTCACTCCAGGCATATCTCCTTTTATTACACTTAATTGAACCTCACAACTTTTTAAAATATTTTTAACAATTTTATTATTTTGTGTGTGTGTGCCATCAAATCAGATCTGACTGATACAGGAGGAGATTGTCCCTCCTTCTCCAGCAGAGCATCTGGGGGATTCGAACCGTGCACCTCTGGTATTTCAGTGCAGCTTCTTGCTACTAGGCTGTCAGAGCTCACACCACACAACTTTTAGAAAAAAGAACACAATGAGAAGGTTTGTTGCAACCCTACATGGAACAAGTCTTTGGGTGCCATTATCCCAACAACATGTGCTCACTTTGTGTCTCTGTGTCACATTTTGGGCATTCTGACACTCTTTCAGACTTTTAAATAATGTGATCACCCCCTAATGCAATACTGTGTAATGTGAAGATAACTAATGCACTCTGGGCAACTAGCAAATTCCTGGGCCTCATTTCATTGTGACAGTCACCCTACTGCAGTGGTCTAGGATGGAACACACCTCCAATGTCTCCAAAGTAGGATCAGATTGAGCAGAGAAAAAAAAGACAGACAGTCGGCAATAGTATGGAGGGTGAGAGCCCAGAATCCTAGACCATCTATCCGAGATGTAGATCCCAGCTCTGCGTTTTACCTTGGGCAGATGACCTAATCTCTTTGTACATTATTTCTCTTGTCTATAAAATGGGGAAAACAGTGTCAGCCCTCCTCATGAACTTGTTCCCTCTCAAACTCCCCTAAAATGACAGTAGTCAGTGAATGTAAACCATGAACACTTCGCCTCTCTCCCTGTTTCCTTTCAAAAAGGAAGGAGGTCCAGCCCTTTAGAGATGTAACTGTCTCATAAATCTGGCTTTACTGTTTTACCCTCCCCAAACCATAGAACACTCTAATCCTGTCCAATTATAAGACATATGAGCATCCACCATTATTACTAGTGCTGTCTTTAGTAGTTATGAGTGTTTTGCAGAAGAATAAGCTAGAAATCAAGATTTGAGGTGATTTAAAGCAGTATGGTCTTCTCTTCCCTATTTTTGTTGCCTGTATCCCTGCTGTGTTCAGGGACCTTAATTGGCATGCTCTCTTGTTGTTGTTGTGTGCCCTTGAGTTGGAAATGACTGAGTTGACTCTCCAATGGGTTTTCCAAAGTGGACGGTGCAAAACTGGAGATACTTTACTTGCTTCAAATTTAAATATACTCCTTACCAAATTCTAATTGTGTCCCTTTCAACCAAAAACACATAATGCTTATTGTTGTTGTTTTTCCACGTGTTTTAAAGTGGTTAGTCATCTTATTAACCATAATTATTTCCCTGGCCTAATTGTCATGCATTTATGTGGCATTTTGTATGTTCATAATGCCTTACAACCATTAATTGTACGAGGAGGTCACTGTGAACCTAGCTTACCTAGCGCTTGCATTTGATGATTCCTGCTTTTGTGTACACAACAACAAAACAGACGTTTGTGCTCCAGATGAATATCAGCCTTTATGATGATGATTCACTTGTTTATAGTCTAGGTTCTAAGACATACGAGTTGGACTAGAATTGTAACAGAGCAGATAAATTGATTTATTCTCTTATCCGCTTTATGCGTGGACGGTGGGAAAGACTTGGGAAGAATGTGGTGTGAGAAAGCACATGAAAGGTTTCCACTCACCTCCAAAACTCAGGCATGGGTGAGCCAGTGTGGCGTTCTCCTCTCTCATACAGGATTCCCAGATTCACTTCCAGGCCTGCTCCTCGGTGTAGCCTGTCTGTAGAGCTTGCCTGGCAGTGTAGGCTTCTGCATGTTCCGATGCTGCTCAGGTTTCAGGGATGCTTCCAGACTGAGACTAGGAAGAAATGTCTGGTGATCTCCTTCATCTCAGTGAATGTAAACCATAAACACTCGGCCTCTCTTCCTATTTCCTTTCAAGGAGGGAAGTCCGTCCCTTTGGAGATGCAACTTTGTCATAATTCTAGCTTTACTGTTTTACGCTCCAAAAACCGTAGAACACTCTAATCTTGTCCAATTATAAAACACATATAAGCATCCACCATTATTATTAGTGCTGTCTTTAGCAGTGAAACCCTTATGCATCAAAACGATCTAATCCACAGAAAGTTTTTGGGATGGTCTAGGACTGGACATTATTTTTTCCCATTGTTTATGAAGTTGCCAAAGTTGTGGTCACCACAAGTTTGAAGCCAACTGGATAGCATCTAACAGTAAAGGCTCCACAACACTGAAAGTTCTCAAACATTTTCCCATTGGCTTAATAGAAATTGCGCTCCTAACCCAAAGGCAGACGGTTCAAATCCATGAGCTGCTCTGAGAAAGATGGGCATTCTCCTCCAGTGTGATTTACAACCTCTGAAAACTCACTGTTAACTCTGTCAGTTCCCCCTCCACAGCACACAGCAACAGTATGAATTGAAATTGATGCAGTGGCAATAGCTTTAGCTTCTAAGGAGCTCTGGTGGCTTAGTGATAAGGAGGTGTACTGCCAACCCAAAGACAAGTGGTTCAAATCCACCCGCTGCTCCATAGGAGAAAGATGAACTGTCTCTTCCTATGTGATGTACTGCCTCTGAAAACCAACCAGAGCATGAGCTATAAGTCATGTATAACAACAATAACAAAATTCAAATGCTCTTGAGAGAGACATCACTCTTAAGCTCTGGGTATCTCCTTATATCTCAGGCTGAATGAGTTTGTTAAATTCTTTTCGGAAATGAAATTTAATCACAAAGATGCAGACAGTTTACTAAACTGAAATCTAGTTGGACTAGAATTGAGAAAATAGAATTAGATGTTACCTACTTAAAAAGATTGAAAAGAAAAAAACCCAATTGTAGACTCCTATTTAAAATATGGCTTGAGTTTAGGAGGTGAGTTGAACCCATGAATTTAGCAACATTCCCTCTCCAAATCCACTAAAAGGATGATAAAGAGCTTTTTAAAAGACAAACTGAGAAGGACAAATGATTTGTTTATGGCGCCATCAAATCCCCTAGACGTCCTAGCAACCCTGTGACCAACAGACTGAAGCCTTGCCCTATCCTGCATCCTCTTCATCTCCCACATATTCAAAGCCGTTGTTACAGTTACCATGTCAGCCCATCTTTCTGAGGACTTCCTCTTTTTCCTGACCCTCTACTTTTACCACCTTGATGTCTTTTTTCCAGTGAGGGCCAACTCCTGAGAACATGCTCATTGTCTGTAAGATAAAGACGGCCTCTGAGAAGCACCCTGGTGGCACTTCCTCCAGGATACTCTTCTTTGTTCTTTTGGCAGTCCACAGTATATTCAATACTCTTACACCACAATTCAATTCTTCTTCTGTCTTCCTTATTCATTGTCCAACTTTCAGATGCATAGAAAGCAAGTAAAAATACCATGGCTTGGATCAGGCCCATGTGTCTTTAAACAGGAATCTTTACTCTTTGGACTTTAAAAAGGTCCCTGACAGCATTTATTTTCCCAGTGTAAGACATCTTTTGATTTCTTGACTGATCCTAGTAAAATGAAATCATTGACAGC